CGCCACCAATCTTGTTTTGTATATCTCCACGTCTCCTTTTGCATTCTTATTCACCTTGTACACCCATCTTACTCCAATTTCTTTGTGTCCTCGTGGAAGTGTTGTAAGTTCCCACATATCATTATTCGTGATTGACTTGATTTCTTCGTCCATTGCATCTCTCCACTTTATATTTTCAACAGCTTCTTGATAGCTTAGAGGCTCGCAATCACCAAAAAGACAAAATAGGTTACTGTCATTTAGGTTGTTCGATTACCTCCTTAGTCGTGGTGTCCTCTCACTTGAACTTGTTTCATCCAACCTTGGTGTCAGTGAGGCAGGTGAAGTAATATTTCCTTTATTATTGGTTGTTCCATTTCGTCTTCTTCTTCAATGTAAGGAAGAAAATCATATATGTCTTCTTAAACAATCCAATCCCAACAATCTTCTTCGTCGAACTCCACATCACGGCTTATGACGATCTGTCCATTATTTGGATTATAGAGCTTGTACTCTTTGGAGCTTGAGTCGTAACCCACATATACGTACTTCTCACTTTTATCATTAAGCTTTATTCTCCTTTCGTCTAAAATATGGGTATAGGCAATGCTTCCAAACACTTTGAGGTGAGAGATATCGGACTTCCTTCCACTCCATGCTTCTTGTGGTGTCTTCTCATGCACGCTTCTTGTTGGGGAATAATTTGTCAGATGAATCGCACATGCCACTACTTCAGCCCAAAACTCCTTCGGCATCTTTTTGATCTTAAGCATGCTTCACACCATGTTAAGTATGATCCATTTATTTCTCTCTGCTACTCCATTTTGTTTTGGACATCTTGGCACTATCAATGGGCGACGGATTCCATGATCTTCACAATATTTGTTGAACTCATTTGAAGTGAACTCTCCTCGTCGATCAGATCTAATGGCCTTAATGGAAAGACCATTTTCTTTCTCAACAAGGGCTTTGAACTTCTTAAAGTTTTCAAACACTTATGACTTCTCCTTCAAGAAATAAACCCATGTTTTTCGAGAATAATCATCAATAAAGAGGAGAAAGTACTTATTTTTACCAAAAGAATTGGGTTTGATTGGTCCACAAACATCAGCGTGTATGAACTCTAGCGACTTTGTTACTCTTGGCGATAATTCCTTTGGAAATTTCTTTTGTAATTGCTTCCCAATTAGACATTCTTCACAGAGTTGGTCTGGATGGTTGATGTTAGGAAAGCCTCTCACCATCTCCTTTTTCGCCAAACATTCTAAACCATCAAAGTTCAAGTGCCTGAATCATAGATTCCATAGCCACGAAGAATCGGTATAGAAAATCTTGAAACACTTATCATTTTGAATGTTCAAGAGGAACATTCTATTCTTTGACATAGGCACCTTAGCAATTAAGTTATGCCTACAATATCTTAAGAAAAGACTATGTTCTTTCAAGTGGATGTCATAGCCTTTCTCTAATAATTGTCTTAAGCTCAAAATATTATTCTTCATGTTAGGCACATAGTAGACATTGGATATGAATTAATGACTCCCATTCTTCAAGCGTATGAGAATTTTACTTTTGCCTTTGACCAGTATCCTTGAGTCATCTCCAAATGAGACATCTCCAGCTGTTGCTTCATTTATTTCTACGAACATGCTTCGATCGCCGCACATGTGGTTTCTTGCACTAGTGTCGAGGTACTACATGTTTATTTTCTCTTCAACTTGGTTTTGGCACGCGAGTAGCAAAGTTTCTTCTTCTCCGCTTTCTTCTACAAAGTTAGCTTTCTCTTCAACCTTCTTCGAGAATCTACACTCGAATGCATAATGATCGATCTTGTTACAGTTGAAGCACTTGATTTATGATTTTTTGCTCCTCGACCATGAAGTTTATCTTCCACAACCTCTTGTTGCTTGTCGATTCCAACTTCTTTCTGCATTACTGAAGTTGTTGGAGTATTTGTTGTAGCTGAATCTTCCTTCTCCTCCATGTCCTCGTCCTCGCCCACGATCTTGGCCATGACCTCGTCCTCTTTGGCTCTTGTAATTCACATAATTTGTTTCCTTTGTGTTGACTTGTAGTAGTTGCTCTATAGTCTCCTTTTGATTAATTTTTCTCTTTTTTTTCTTCGTATGTTTGTAAGGAATCCATGAGTTGTTCAATAGTCATGGTCTTTAAATCCTTGTTTTCTTCAATGTTGGTAATAATGAAGTCAAAACTTGGTTTTAAAGTGCGAAGTATTTTCTCCATGACTTTCACCTCATCAACATCTTCACCATTTCTTTTAAGTTGATTGACTACGGCCAATACGTGAGAAAAATAATCTGAAATTGACTCGGACTCCTCCATAAACAAACGTTCAAAGTCATCTCTAAGAGTTTGAAGACGAATCTTTTTTACCTGCTCAAATCCTTTGTTGCAAGTTTGAAGCTTGTCACATGCTTCTTTGACCGTCATTGCATTGGATATCTTCTCAAATGTATCCTCATCCACTGATTGATAAATTAGGAAGAGAGCTTTCTTGTCTGTCTTTCTTGACTCCTTCAACGTCTCCTTTACACCTTGGCTTAACGAGGCTTCATCTTGCTCCTTGAAATATTTCTCAATGATATCCCACACATCTTGTGCTCCTAGTAACGCCTTCATCTTGATATTTCAACTGTCATAGTTGTTCTTTGTGAGCATCAACATTTAGAAAGGAAAACCATCATTCGCCATCTTTTGAGGATCTTGAAGCTCTGGTACCACTTTGTTGGAAATAAGGTCTTTTATGTTTAAGAAAAGTGTGTGGGAATATTAGAGGCTTGAATAGAAATTTGATAAGTTTGAGAATTCTTTATGGAGGAGAGGATGTTGTATTTTCGCTTGATAAGAAAGTGTGAGATTACATCTCTATTTATAGTACTCTAAGGAGAACTCTAGATACATTAATTCTAAATAATTCTCAACTCTAGAGATCCAAACAGTATTCTAGAAAATATTACAATTATAAAAAATATCTAGACACTTTAAACAGTACAAAAAATTTCTATCAACATTACCCAAAATTACTTAAACTCAAAATAACTAAACCCAAATAACCAAATAATAAAGTTATGCCCAAATCAAATTTATATTTCAACAATAAACACCGCTGCAAGAACGAACATGGGGCGCTGCTTCACCAAATGACACTCCCAAATACTCAACTACCACTACAATATTTTGATTCTACGGCAAGTAGGCAACCCCTAATTTTTGAGATAAAAATACTATTTTCGTAGTGTGTAATAAGAACAGTTTTCATAATTTATTGCATTAGTACCTATATTTTTCGCAAATGTTATGATAATGGGTAAAATCGTTCTAATATAATTTTTAATTATAACCGTTCTCATATAAACATTGTTTAGAAATTCCTTTTTAGGTTTTCCCCTTTCTTTTTCTCTATCTATTAATAACATAAAAACAAAACCCTCCCACTGCCATATAGCGCGAGTCACTAATGCATCACATTATCACACCTTGCACTCGGTTGTGTCGCCGCCGCCGAGAGCCCACCTGAATTCGCCCTCTACAATAACACTGATGGTGATAGATATATAAGGAGACTCTTTTTGTTTAGTAATTTATTTATAGCACTGATACATTTGAAAAAAGATGTGTTTGTGTTAGTCTCGGTATCGAATAGTTGTATCGATATTTATGATTGTCTTTAATTTTTTTAATTTTTCAAAATATTATCGGTGTCAATGTGTCAGTATCAGGTTTGAGGTTTTGTATTTCATAATAAGTTAAGAAGCGTGTTTATTTTGAAAATCTTGTTGAATTTGAGGATCAAAGTGTGGACAACAAGTTCTAATTAAGGTACTAGTTTCTTGAACTATCTCGTTCATTTTGAAGAATTCCCGAAGATATCTGTATATCCTTGTATTGTTTTGTATGATGACATAGATTTTTAATGTCATGTACTTTCTTACTAAATTAATTTTCAGCATACACTGTGTTGGCATCCCCTCCCCTGCAGGGACAAAAGTGCATGTAACATTATGATTTGTTGTCTATAGCTTAAATTACATGACAGTGAAGAAGTATGACTTTCTCTTATGTCTAAATATCCTGTTTGATTGCATTTTAAAAAACTTGTTTGAATTAAATGTTTTGTAATATCGTTTATAAAAATCATCAATTTTCCTCTTCTTCTTGAAATGTGATTCTAACGCTATTGATAAGTGTATAATTTTCTCTTCTTAATGGCACAACCACACTGAATAGTTTTGGTTACATATTCTTACTAATGCTTGTATCTTGCCAATATTAAATTATTTTGAGACAAGTTCATCCATATACGTCTCATTTGTTGGTTCTCTTAATGATTGTATCTATCAATATAGAATCTTTTAGAGACAAATTCATCAACAAATTCCATGGGAAGACACAAGTTGTTAATTAGACTAGTTACAACTTTTAATATATTTGGACCATTAAATGAGTTTTAATTGTAGTTTTAAAGATATGTTCTAGTATTTATAAAATTATAATGTCATTTATGCTAAACTTAATATATATGGGTATTTCTATGTTCAGAATACTCATGCCAATCTCAGGATGAATGAAGCTAGTCGGAGGCATGGAAGATTTTGTTATTTTTACAATGATAATAATAATTGATGTAACTGTTCACAGTTGAAACACGATCTATTTAGAGAAATTCACGAAATCTAGTCTTACGAAACTCTACTATATGTGAATGATGTTATTGAAGATGTTATTTTGTTATGTAATTTTTTAATTTAAGATTTTATTAAAATTTTATATTAATAATATTATATTAAAATTAATATTCTTTAAGTCTAATGATAATTAATCATTATTTTCAAAGGTTCATAAAATAAATAGAATTACACATACTAGCATGAGTAAAAAACTTTAACGGGATGATTTTTAAAAAAATTTATTCATTGCAATGGTGAAATCTTGCTACTTTAGCTTCTAAATATTTGATATAGTCACTACGGAGGTCATAAATATATAAATTTATTTTAAAGTTACCGACGGTGACGAACTGTTTGAATATCCCCTAAAAACCATTCTCCAAGATAACCAATTGCAATGGTCTTAAAATAAGAACGAACATACACCGTTGTTGTTGGGAATTCTAAAGATTGTTCTCTCAAGAAACATAATACAACGGTTACTTTAAAGGTGTCGTCGTTCAATACAAAACCGTTGTGATATGCTAAGGCAACGCCTCGATTTGGCACGGTCTGAAAACCGTACTCGAATCCTATGGAAATCGTTTTTTCAGATTTCACAACGGTTTTGTGCATTGTTATAGGACGAAAATGTTGTAGTGTGCAAGAGCAGCAACAACAACTTCATCAGTGATATCTCAAGAGAAATCCCTGGTGGACAAGTGAGGCAGGTGGGACACATCGTCCAGTGTAATGTTCATTTCACCGAATGACATGAGAAATTAAGATGTCTCTAGATGCTATCTCTCTATAAATATTAATTCTTAATTTGTATCTATTGTTTTTTTCAAACTAGTTCTCGAAATGAAGATAGACCAAACCGAGTTATCCATCTCTCTATCTTTGGCGGGAGACAATGAAAAACAATTCTTGTAAGCTTGGTCCCATATCGTGCAACTTTTAGTTATTTCTTTGGACCTCTCTTCCTAAGAAATATTTATTAGAAGTAGATCTTTTATAGGTGAAACATAAATGAATAAATAATGCTCAAGTAGATGATCGGGTGGAATATATCTACACAAGAGGTTTGTCATTATTTTATATATCATTGCTGAAGCAAACATGATATCGATAAGAGTATTATTTATCATATTTATTAAATTTGATTATTTGACAGATATTGTAAGTACATGATTTTTTGAAAGTTAAATTAGATAAGCTAACTTTATAGTTGCCGATATTATTTCTTTTGTACTCTTGTTGGTCCTATCTTATTTAAGTAAACTAAAAAGTAGAATAACTACTTTTAGATATAGTTAGGTAGACTGGTTGTCAAAGAAGTTAAGGAAGTTAGTTAGGAAAACTAATTCTTGGTTGGTCATGGAACTAACTCTTAGGCTTTTATATATTCCTAATTATTGGTCATGGAACTAACTCTTAGGCTTTTATGTCATAGAACTAACTCTTAGGCTTTTATATATTCCTAATTATTGGTCATGGAACTAATTCTTGGTAATTAACTAAATTTAAGGAACACAAGTGATATCTCACTCTCTATCTCTATTAGAAATATAGGAGGTATAGATTAATAATTAGTTGGATCCTATTTGGTGAGCCAATATAAAGGTCTTGATGTAATAACTTACTTTTTTCACATGTAATTTTTCTCTTTTAATTCGATATAATTTATTCTTAATATTTCTATCTCTTTTATGGATGTCATGTTTAACAATATGGTATTAGAGAAAAATTGGTTTCCTCCTAAAATGCAAGAGTAAAATTGGTATTCGCTTTGAATGTAATTTGTGCTACATTTTCTTGAGAAAATGACAATTTTCTTAATTTTTCATCCCCTTTCTTTCTTCATATTATTTTCATTAATTTTGTTTTTAAAATATTTCATTTTCTTTCATCGATTATGTTCACAGTTTCTACCCAATCCATTCCGATTCATTTAATTGTTGTTTAATTTTTAACTAGATTCTAGGATTTATTCTCTTAAATCTCATCTTCTTTCTTCATGATTACCGTTATTGTGATTTGAGATCTCGCGATTTTGCTTTCTATTATTCTCTCAATCGTTTCTTTCTCGTATGGTTACTATCATTGCAAGTGAAGTTAGGATTTGATTCTCACATTTGATTTTAGTTATGGAGAATCCATATTAGTTGGGGCTATGATGAAATTAAATGGTGTTGTCGATGACTACCTCTACATCGTCACTGGTTGTTGTTGTTGGAACTCCATTTTATCGCAATTTTTTGTTTGTGTCATCTTCCTCAATTTCTAGGGTTCTTGTTTTTCGATATTGTACGGGATTTCCCAGTTCAGTGAGTTAATCAAAATAGAAGATTCCATCATCGCTATATCGAGATTTATCATCAACGTCTGATTCTGCCACCATTGTATCATTTGAATCAATTTTCGAGGTTTGTGATTTACAACAGTATCATAATTAGTTTGTTGATGAATTGTCTCATTTTTTTTTCAAACTCTTCGTTGAGATCTAATTAAAGGATTTGAGTTCATCACATAGAGAAATTTTGGTTTTTGGTTTGCTTACATGCACTCTAGTTTTATGAGATTCTTCTATCTTGTACTTTGCTTGAGTGATACAATTGGAATTGTTAAGAGCTAGATTGGTTAACTATTGTGTGTATATTACTGCTATGAAAAGAAAAACCGTGGTTTCTTTTGATTAGAGTTGTGTTTCCTTTGGATTTTATTATGATGATGGAAGGTGATATTGTTGTTGTAGACCTTGCACTAATTCTCACAAATTGTTTTGTGATAAGTTTTCTTTGAAATTGAAAATACAAGGGTTAAGTGTTATTGATTTAGTGCTAATGGTCACTAGTTGTTCTCATATAGAAGCTATATTAAAGACTTTATTCCAATGGATTTTGGTTCAAGTTTAGATTCACAAAGTTGGTTATTCAACAATTTTGTTCATTGATTATGGGTTATTGAAGATTGGCCAATTCCCGCTCTGAGATTGTTCACATTGACAAACATATTCAACTCTATGATATATTTATGTATCTGTGATGACTCTTTATCATTGCATGTATTTTACCGAAGAAACAGAAAGAAACAAGTCAAATATGACCAAATTTGAAGAAAAATTCCAAAGAATGAAACAAAAATGACCAAGTGTGAAGAAATATGGACTTGGGGAATTTGTCTAAAAAGGGAGCAAAAGAGAAAAATTTACTGGAATAATTTCACCAGACATCGAGCGCCATCACGTGCATGATGGACCTATAAAATTTGTATCGCATACACTATGTTGTCCATGTCGTGCATGGTGAGCTCTTTTTCTGGGAAAATTCTTACGTGTTCTGACTGCAATCTGAAGGCTTTAAAAGAGGAGTTTTTTGACATCGTTTCAAGGGTTCTGCGATTTTATATTGCAAGTGATGATTTAAAATACCGGAAGTAAGATTGGAGCACATTTAAAGCCATTAGAAGCCAGTTCTTCAAAGGTTATCTTATGCAAAATTCTTCTTGTTATTTGGTTTTGTAATTCAATCATTATGAGTAGCTAAACCTCTCTAGGTTAGGTTTTGTATGATGTATCTATTTTAACATTGTTGTGACGTATGTTTGATTTGTTTTTGCATGAATAATTTGAGTTATAATACTATTCAATTGCTTCTTTTTTGTAATGCTTTTTATGTGAGATACTCTTTTTATCTGATTTTGTGTATATAAGGAATATTGACCATTAGTCTATGTGTTGGACCTAGAGAAATTATTGTGCTTACGCTGGTTGAATAGGGATAGGAGACCTCGAGTAGTGGCCTATGAATTAACTTAGTGTTGCATTGCCTGATCTCACTTATGTTGATTGACTAGGGATTGGAGACTTCTAGTATAGATTAGTGAGCTATACACCAAGGCATTTGGTATAGTGATTTTGTTAATTCGCAGTGGAATTATAGCGATGAAATCATTCATGTAATATATCGAACACCAATAGGAGAGAAATAAGGGATTCTATACAAAACCTAACCACTTTCATATTATTTGTGGAACATTGTTTTATAGGTATTAAGTGTCTTTATTTTGATGATGATAACTTTGAAGTACAAGAAAAAACAATCAGCATATTAAAGATGCAATAGAGTTTTGCCTTAACTATAAAAGAACAGAGCATACAAACCAGCATGATAAATGCAACAAGTCCTTGACTATAATGTATAGAACAAATACTCATAAAAATAAGAGATGAAACATAATGACAATTGTACATGATCAGAAAGAGAAAATGCAGCATAGTAAGATACAATCACAAAAGAAGTTAACCAATATACTCTAAACAGTTAAAGATGTAAGCCATGGGTTTGATAAGGAATAATAAAGTTTTAGACATCAACAAAGGCTTTTTAGACAAAAGAAAAACAAATATATTATATAGAAAGCCTCAGGAGATCTCAAGCAGGTGTCAACACAATGAAGACATCAGCCATAGGCTTAAGGAAGTTATCCAAATTTAGTAAGTGAATGAAACTTTTGTAAAAGCAAAAGTTCTTTCTTTATAAGTAGATGGCTATAAGCATACGCATACACACACACACACACACACACACACACACACACACACACACACACACACACACACACACACACACACACACACACACACACACACACACACACACACACACACACACACACACACACACGCAGTTAAAACATGGTTGTAAGTCAACCCCCATTTCCTTGTATAAGGGAGTTTATGAGCTTCACCTACTAAAAGTTCTCAAGTACATAATGGAAACTCTTAAGACCAGTTCTTGGGGAGAGGAGCATGTCTCTTATATATGACCAAACCTCTATACATCATGGTGCTCTTCTTTTTCCTTAAACTTATTATTTTCCACACATTATCTTTCAAAATATTTTATTATGCTGCTAAGTCTTAGAAAATATTTTATACTTTAATAGTTCTTAGGAAAAGTTTTCAAAACCATGTTTTTCCAAACCACAAAATTCACCCCCCTCTCTGTGTGAAGTCTCAGTTCTAGCAAGTGGTATCAGATCCCAACTCATGTTTTAAAGAACTAATCATCTCAGGAGGAAGATGACTTCCGACACAAGACTGTTTTTCAAAAACTCACCACCACTGTTTGAAAATTATTTCTTTCTTTTATTTTCTTCAAAATTAAAACTCTTTATTTATAAACTTATTCAATGGTGTGATTTACCCTACTCATCAAATAAATGATGAAGAAGTGGAAAAATCTCTTTGACCAAATAGAAATTATAAATGTTATTTTACCGCCAAGAAAATGTAGGATACTTTGGAAAAGATATATGGAGTTTCTCCAAGTATCAAGCCATATGATATGAACACATGAGGTGAAAAAAATAATTTCTTAAAATTTCTCTTCAACGGTTACTAACATTTATTTAGAGAATTAATAATTGGAGAAATTCTTCCAACTCTTAAAATCTATAGATAGAAACCTTCATGAATTTCCGGAAAAATCAAGAAGAAGGAAATCATAGAAGCCATTATAATCAAACTTGAAGATCATCACTCATATCATGTTCCAGACCCTCCTGTTAAAAAAAAAACAAAGAATAAGTTTCTCATCAATTGAACAAAGAAGAGGAAAATGCAACCTTGG